TTACCAAGAGAACCCATGGCTTCTTGAAATGTGTACAACACTGGATCTCGAGATGGGAAAAGCAAGTTAGTTCTGGCACATCTCGTTTCTGGAAAGAGTTAAGATGAAGTGCTGAAGGCCAGCCCAGCTGGTTCCCTCACGGAGGTTCCAAGTGCTGAACACAACGCCTCTCTCAGGGTTTCTTTGCCGCTTCACGTGTACATGAGCCTCATCCTCTCTGGCTGACTGTCCCGGTGAGGTGCGGTTCTATTAGGAAGGAGAAAGGAGAAAACAGATGTTGGGCAGGCAAACTACAATGCCTCAGTTGGTCCATCGAGGGTCCCATGCCCACTCACTGGCCAGCCGCCGTGTCCCTGAAGACAGACCCGTCGAAGAGGATGGCAGCATTTGTTACCCCTGTGGGTAAAGAGGTAGTGAAAGTGATATGGTCCCCCAAACAAGGGAACTGTACCCAGAGGAAGAAACAGATCCTCTATTAGTTACCTACTGCTGCCAACAAATTACCCCAAACCTCAGTGGCCTGAAACAAGAAACATTTACTATCCAAGAGTTTCTATAGGTCAGGAATCAGGTGTGGCTCTGACTCAAACCTTGTCTGTCACGAGGCTGCCACCGCAGTGCTGGCCAGGGCACAACCATCTTGAGGCTCAGCAGGAGCAGATCTGCTTCCAAGCTCACTCCCACGGCTGCCGGCAAGCCTCAGGTGCTTGCTGGCTGATGGCCAGACACATTGGTCCCTTGAACAGCAGGCCTTACAATAGGGCAGCTCACAATATGGCAGTTGGTTTTTCTCAGAGCAAGTGAGCGAAAGAGTGAGAGAGGGTGCCCAGCACAGGAGCTGGAGCCTTTTTGTAACTAGTCTCTGAGGTGCCGTGCGGTATTCCACTGTTAGAAATGAGTTGCTAGGTCCAGCCCACGTTTATAGGGAGGGGACATGAGATCATTGGGGGCCCTTTTACGGGCTGCCTACCATGGGTCCTGCAGGGCAGACAGTATGATCCAAGAATGCCAGCCTGAGTGGTGGCACGTTAGACCTAAAGTGTGGTAATTACAGTTTAATGCAAACAAGCTGACTCTGTAGGAAAACCTTGAGATTATGATACTACAACAAGAATATCAACACAAAATGTGCTAACAGGTGGTGGTAATGCATACAGAAGGTTTAAATTTTTTTTTATTCAATATGAAACAGATACAAATTGGTATTTGTAAGATATGAGATGTAAAGGACAGTGATAAATGAACACAGGACCACACCATCCAGTGGAAGAGAAAGGGGGTGAGCGTCGCTTCGGAGTTTCCAGTGTCACCCCAGCCCTCCCCTCCAGAGGTCCCTGCCACCCTGAATTCTGTGATCATTATTCCCTTTCTCTTCTTCATAGTGTGATCGATATGGGTGTCTTACAAACGTCTTACACAAGGCATTGTTTGGTTTTCCCTGCTTTTGAATTAACAGAAAGGGAACCACACTGCATATGTTTTTCTGTGATTTGCTTCTTTCATTCAAAATTATGTTTCTGAGGTTTATCCATCTGATGTGTTCACACCGATGTTTTCAGTTTGACCCCAACTTCACTACGCTCTTCGTATATTATTCTAATACAAAAGCAAACTCGACTTTATTTTTTGAGCCACCAGCTTGCTCTTCACGTTGGTGTACAGCAATGTATGGCTGTACTGCAGCTCATCTGTATATGACGTGGATCAGTTCCATCTTTTTGCTGCATAAACGGTGCTGCTGTGAACATCACTGACCTTGTTTGCTGGTATGCTTGTGCAAAAGTTCACCCACAGAATACACCTGGGGAAGGAACGGCTGGATCAAGGGTGTGCGAATGTTCAGCTGTAAGAGATAATGCCGCATGTTTTTCCGAAAGTGGTTGAAGTGATTTACACTCCATCTCCAATAAATACGTGTTCTACTTGTTTCCAGTCCTATCCGATATTTCATATTATCTGTCTTGTAGATTTTTGTCAATCTGGGAGGCATAAAATGGAATTTCACTGAGGTTTTTATTTGCATTTTACATGGGTTATAATATTTTTTTTACCACACTGGCAAGTGCAATCCAGTGATCAAATGAGACTCAACTGTACACTCAAGCTTTAGCCATTATCCATGTAACTATTTATAAATTATTGTTACCTTGATTAATTATCATACCTGTGCAAATTCTTTGGTTAAGAGTTAAATGCAAAGAATCAGGATTTGTAATAATAGTTTAGCGTAAGGACTATGTTGCAAAGTGGCTTAAGGTATAGACAGTCATGGGCACTGTTCTCCTTTTGTATTTATTTATTTATTCATTGAAGATTTTATTTATTTTTAGAGAGGGTGAAAGGAGGGAGAAAAACATTGATGTGCAAGAGATACATCCATCAGTTGCTCCTTGCACGCCCCCAACTGGGGGAACCTGGCCCTGAAACCCAGGCATGTACCGAACTGGGAATGAAATCAATGCCTGCACTCAATCCACTGAGCCACATTGGCCAGGGCTTTTGTATTTATTTTGATATATTAAGTGAAGGTGTTTTAAGGGAATTAAAGGCAAAAGTGAGTCATGTGCATCTAGTTCATATATCATTTCTGCTGCCCTAAAGGGTATACAAGCAAAGAAGGAGTGAACCATTGGGGCCTGGACCAATTTTGTTCCTGTTACAAACCCCAGAAGATGAAGTTTCTTTTAAAGTCCTAGATAGAATTTTCGTACTCAGAGATTTACAGTGAAGTATTAAATAAAGAAATTACTTCCCTGAGATGTTACTCTGCACGGTCAACATTGGACTGTAAACACGCTGAAGTCTGGATTGACTTCACATCCTGATTGGACCACATCCAAGAGACACGTCCCAGGACAAGTCAAAGTGCCAAGTGTAATGCCAGCTTCAGATGGGCATGAAGTCAGGTGATTGTAATAGCTGGCAGCAGCCTATTCTTACAGGCAGAGCTGAGATGGGACCTGCCAAAAGCTGGGGTTCACTGTGAGATGAGCCCGGGCTCTAGGGGTCTGAGCGGGCCTGGCTTGGTGGAGACTAGCAAGGACCGAAGATAGTGGAAGTTGGGTGCCCCTACTGTTTGCACTTTGAGCTTCCTTCTGTGAAAGCTAGCACAGGAAATAGACCAAGATGACTTCCGCTCATGCATTGCTAAAGTATAAACATACAATATTTTTAAAAAGCAATTTAGCACAGCCATGAAGAATTTAAACATGTTCCTATTTTTTGACCATGTAATTCCATCCTTAGGAATGTGCCCAATCAGAGAGGGAGGGGAGAGAGGACTGGGACTGGGACTGGGAGGAAAGAGAGGCAGAGGGAAATGGAGGGGAGGGAAGTGAGTCTGTGCACACAAGTACTTGTGCTCATTGAGTGCAGGGGCAGTGTGGACAAGTGGGGATGGGCAGTGGGCTCCCAGCTCGCTCTCTCCTCAGCCCTCTCCCCTTACTCCCTTGCCAACTCCAGGCCCCACCTTCAGGAGGGCGCATGGTAGGTGGACAGAATGCTGAGCCTCCTCGTATCATGGGGAACTAGTAGTAACTTAAACATCGCTGTCGAGTCCAGAATTTTCTTTCAACATTGTAAGCTAACTTTTTGCCTATAATCCATTATATTCTTATGGGACCACCAGCATATACATGGTTCCTCATTGATCCAAACAGCATGATGTGGCAAACACTCTAATGGACAAATCTGCACAAAGAGAACTGAAGAAAACAATTCAAAAGCGGTACTGAGAGGTGCATTCAAGTGCTTTTATGGTGTGCACACACATTGAAAAACCCTCATCTCCATCAGCAGACATTCCATTCTGTAAGATAATTGTGGGTTGTCTAGGTGAGGAACAATGAGCAGCTAATGCAGCGGTTTTTAACACTGAAGAACACACGCATATGTGTGTTCTTCACAAATTAAGGAAACCTCAACTAAAACTGGTTTCAGGAAAAGGCCTACTTTGCATCTCCAAGAGGAAGGTGTATTTACTACTCTGGACGGAGGAAGATTTTCTTCTTGCTCAGCAACAAGGCCAGCCAATGGAAAATGCCACAACTCAGCCAATAAGTCGTGGTCACCCTGAACACTTACTTTCCTCCACTGAACTTTCATTTTCCTTCTGCTAATGACTGTTGTCAACTGAAGATCATCGAAGGTCGTCATCATCCATTCAATGCCAACAGGAGTTTCCAGTTTGGGGTGTGGTGAAGGGAAAGGCTTTTTTCAGTGAAAACAGCTCAATTAGGAAAGAGCTCAGCTGTGGCTGGGACAACTCAATCATGAAAGTGATTGGGTGTTGGCCTTGGCATCAGGATTCTGGTGTTGCAGCACAGCAGAGGAAAACCGAAAGTGCACTCCACAGCCATGGAAGGGAAGCTGGCTTATAGAGTTTTGGCCCCAAGTCCAGGATTGGTCCGTGCACATGGAAATGAGGACTGCAAATTGTTAGTTTGGCCCAAAGAGCACTATCCTGATTGGATGGAATGGAGCCACTCTGATTGGGTAGCAAGATTGGATGGAAAAAAATCTGTCCTATTGGTTTAATTTCTCCCCTAGGAGCTCTCTTGTAAGACTCAGGTGAGAGAAGCACAACGCTTCAAATGCAGCTGAAAGCAAACAATGACTGCTAGCCTCTGGTTGTGAATTTGGGCCCAATTAACGCTGAGTCCTTTTTGGCAGGTATATTTTTCTCTGAGTCAACACTTCCTTGCCCCACTCCGCTTTCTATAAAAGCCTTCCTTCCATCTTGTGTAGCCCCTCTGGGTAGCTCTCTGTTGCTAGTTGAGACGTTGCTTGATTCATGATTGTTGGATAAAGTCAATTAGTTCAAATTTACTAAGCTGAATTTTTATTTTTTAGCATGAGAAATGCTCACAAAATTATATTAAATAAAAATTAGGCCATAAAAATCACATATACAACATGATCAAAAATTTCTAAGAAAAAAACTGCACGTTTATTTTCTAATGTGTAAGAAGAAAATTAATGGGTGAGTGGTGCGATAACTGGTGATTTAAATGTTCTTTATTTGGTCATAAGCTTTCAAATGTTCCGTAATGAACAGATACAATTTTTATAATGAAGAAAAATACTAAGATATGTTAAAGTTCCATTCCTGAATTTCAACTGGGCCCTGGAGGCAGCCCGGCTCTTACTTGCCACCACTGTCACGGCTGCATCAGCTCAACGGGCACTCGATCTCCTCACTAGAGGAGAACCCTGCCAACGACCGGGACGCGCTGCCCTCGCTGGACCCCCTCGTCTCTCCCCGCACTTCCCTTTCTCCTCTTTTGAAATATTTTACTTTTCTGGACTGTCCACGGTTTTCACAACACATTGCTTTTCTCACCAGAACAACCCTGCAGAGACCCCGTGACCCTGACTCGCGGCGCCAGCGCGCCCCCGCACGGCCGGCCGGGGCCCTGCTCCGCGAGCTCGGGCCGCGCCCTCGCCGGCGCTCCGCCCGCTTCCGTCTTCCGGCCACTGCGGACTCTGCCCTGTGCCCCCGGTCCCTAGCGGGTTATGGCTCCGCTACGCTTCTCCGCTAACGTGTCCTGGTTGTTCCCGGAGCTCTCCGGCCTCCCCGCGCGGTTGCGGGCGGCGGGCAGCGCGGGCTTCGAGGCCGCCGAGGTCGCCTGGCCTTACGCGGACCCGCCGGAGGCGCTGGCGTGCACGGCGCGAGAAGCGGGGCTGCAGGTGGTGCTCATCAACACGCCTCCGGGTGCGCCGTGGGGCCCGAGGCCCGGGCGTTGGGGGCCAGGAGGGTTGAGCAGGAAGCTGAGGTCCATTGTCTCTCTCTGCAGGAGATCGAGAGAAGGGGGAAATGGGACTGGGGGCCGTTCCCGGGAGGCAGGCGGCCTTCCGAGAGGGGCTGGAGCAGGCGGTGCTGTACGCCAAGGCTCTAGGCTGTCCCAGGTATCTTGTCCTTTCCTCCTCCCCCTGGTTGACCCAAGACCCTGCCGCACGTGGTTCGGGATGTGGGCGATGAGGACGCCAGGTACGAGGCTTAGAAGTCTGAGCCCACTGGCACTTCTCCACCCCTGCAGTCCTGACCCTTTGTAAATTGCCTTCCATATTGTGTGTCATTCTCAGTTGGCAACTCTTTCATGCTTCTCTCTTGCTGGGATCCATGCTGGGAGCTCAGTCTGACTAGGGAGACAGCAAAGTAAACAGAAAACAGAGCAGGGATCCATTTGAGGATGGGTCAGTTCATGCAGGTTGTGGGCAGAGCAGGCACCCAGCTGTCTCAGATCCGAGAAAGCTTCCTACAGGTACTGATGTCGAACTGGGTCCCAAGGAGTGGGCATTAGCTTGATGTAAGGAGCATTCCAGGAATGGATGCACTGGCCAGAGGCAAGAGGAAGCTTGGTGTGTCCAGCAGAGTTCAAGAGGTAGCTTGTTGGGGTTGGAAGTGGCTGAGAAAGAGCAGGTGGTGATCAGGGAGGAGGCTGGAAGTGGGGCTGATCAAGTAAATGTCAAATCCTGCAGGTCAAATAGGCTGAGCAGGAACTGATAACAAGGGGTCATTACTGGTGGGGGTGGGGGGATGAAATCAGACGAGAAGCTAAGAAACAGATGCAAGAAGAGAAACAGCATGGAATTCTTGAGAAGGGTAAGGGTCAAAATAATTTATAAAAGGTGAGACTTAGGCATGTTTACAGGCTGAGGTTGAAAGTACAGGACTGAGGTTTCTGAGGCTGGAGGGTGACGAGGCTGGGTTGATCCTCAGAAGGGCTGTGGGAAAGGGTGCGGCCTGAGCTTGAGGCCAGGTGGCATGGACTAGAGACCTGGGGTGGGGGGCAGCTGGAAGAGGCGCACACTGGGGTCAAGGGGGTGAAGAAGGCCCTGCTTCTGGGACGGACTCCACAGCCCCCTCCAGTGCTGCTTCCCCACAGGATTCACCTGATGGCTGGCCGCGTACCACAGGGTGCCGAACGCGCAGCAGTCAGGGCTGAGATGGAGACAGTTTTTCTGGAGAACCTGAGGCATGCCGCTGGGGTTTTGGCTCAGGTGAGGTGACAACGAAAACACGGACACACATATGAGTGCAGAGGGGTGTGCACAGTGTAGAGGGCAGCCAGGCACTAGCTGGGTCTGGGTGACTGGTGAGGGGCTTGACTGGCAAGTGGAAGGTGAGGACAAACCTGGGGGAAGAGCTCTATTCACAGATCCAACATGGTGCTAGGAGAACCTCGTGGGACTGCTGGAGCCCATTAACACCCGCCTCACTGACCCCTGGTACTTCCTGGACTCGCCCCACCAGGGTAGGACCCCCAGCCCTGTGCCGCCTCCTGTCCCTTTGATTCCTGTGCTCTCCTTGAGTGTCACAGCCCTCTCCTGTTTCTCTCCCAGCGGCAGCGATCTTACAGAAGGTTGGAAGACCCAACCTCCAGTTACAAATGGTATGTGGAAAAAAAACTTCTTAGAGGACCCAGGTCCTCCAAATCTGGGAACAGTGGCAGATGCTGAGGGGGCTCTGACCAGTAATCTCTGCCCAGGACATATTCCACTGGCAGATCATGGATGGGAACCTGACGGGGAACATCCGGGAGTTCCTGCCCATTGTTGGTGAGCGGGCCCTTTCTTGGCTCCTTCCTCATCTGCTGTGCTGCTTCCCCTGCCCCCAGCCGGAGCCTGGGCCTCCCATCTGCCGTATCCATCCCCAGGGCATGTGCAGGTGGCACAGGTCCCAGGCCGGGGGGACCCTGGCAGCCCTGGAGAGCTGAACTTCCCCTATTTATTCCAACTGCTGGAAGATGAAGGCTACAAAGGCTTTGTAGGTTGCGAGTACCAGCCTCAAGGTGAGGGTGGGCGAGGCTCCAGGCCGGGCCCGGGGAGGGGAGGACAGGAGGGACAGGTATTGGACAAAGGCTGTTTTCCTCATGGCTTCAGATGCCCCCTCCTTCTCCCCTCAGGAGACACAGTGGAGGGCTTGAGTTGGCTACGCTCCTACTGGGACAGGCGGGGCCGCCCGCAGGCCGGCCAGTGAGGCCCTGCCGCCCGCCCACATGTCTCTGGGACAGTGAGCTGAGCATCCTGTGAATTAAAGACAACCTGTTGAACGTGTTCACGTGTGTACGTTATTGGGGGCGGGGGACACTCAGTGTCTGACCCTTCACCTTCTGGGGACCACTTCCCTCCTGTTGAGAAGGGGCACAGCTCATGCTCAAGTGCTCCAGTCTGTGCGGTGCAGCTGTGAGACGGGAGGGCTCTGAGTCCACCTCCTCACGTACAGACGAGGTCCAAAAGCGAAGGGACTCGCCTGTGCTCACAGGTGCACAGAGGAGGGCAGGGACTGGGACCCAGGGGTCCTGTCTCGGGGGCCATGTCCAGGAGGGATATCCCAGTGGAAACGAAGACCAGAGAGCTCAAGGTGGGAGGCGGATGACTCAGAGGCAGGATCCAGGCAGAGGGGCTTGGGTGAGTGCTTGCCGCTGGGTGTAAAGAATTCCTGGGACTCTGCCAGGTGAGCAGGAAGGAGGAGCCCCCTTCTGGAAGGGCCCAGGGACCTGAGAGGAGACGGGAACCTCAGCGGCTGTGTTTTGGGGACGGCCGCCCCTGCTGCCAGGCTGGGGCTGCAGACCCCCCAAGTATGGTCACAGACCCTTCGGTGTCCCTCAGCGTCCAGGCTTGTGCTGGGGCACAGAAGGGCTGGTCAGTCCTGCTTCTGGTGGGTGACCTTACAGACCCACGGTCCGAGGACCAGTGACGCGCAGCAGTCTGCCCCTCAGAGGAGACGGGTCCAGAGGGTGAAGCAGGCCGTGTTGATGACCGACTCGAGGTGATGGTAGGTGGAGACCAGCTGGGCGGGGGGGCTCTCGCTGTCCTGGGGCTGCACTGGGAAAGGCTCTCGGAAAACCACTGTCAGAGACTGTGGGGACACAGTGGGGTACACTGGTGAGAGGAAGGCACCCCGACCTCAGTAGACTCTGGGATAGGGCATTTGGGGTACGGCCTCCCACCAGGCCAACACAAAACCCCTCACCCTGTGTTCTCACCGTCTTTCCCAAGTGGGAATCCAGAAACACTAGCACGAAACAGTCAGTGAACTTCTGGTTTAGCACAACCTGCAGCGAAAGACAGTGAGATGGGGAGTGAGGCCACCTCCCTGAGGAAGCACAGCCCGTCCTGCAGCGCGTCCTGGGAGTGAACGGCCACGGGAAGGAGGACAGCCTCCATCTCCACACCCGCCCCACCTGCACTCCACGGCCACCCGGAGCCTCCTCTCCAAACCGAACCTCCGCCCTCATCCTCACCGGCCCCTGGCCAGCCTGGTCAGAGTAAGGAGAAGGGAGGCTTGATCGGAAGGTTCCCGAAGTCATCTATCTGGAGGCCCTGCATGAACTTGGCACTGAGCCCCAACACTGAAGGAGAGTTCTCTGCCCTTGACAGGACCCTCCTCACCTCCTGTCCTGCCCCAGGTCTTGTGGCTCTGGCCTCTCCTGGGACCATCCCCTCCTATCTGTTGCTCATGCTCAGCTTCATAGTCTCCCTGGGCCATTTCTTCCACTCCTAGGGCTGCGGTGACCCCTTGTTCGTGTGGATGTTGCCCAGACCCCCTCTCCTGAGTGCCAATCCCCGACATCCACACAAACCTTCCAAACTGTGGTCCCAGAAGGTCCCTGTAAGCCTCAGATGCAACTCCGCGCCCTTCCCCAAACCCACTACTGCTGCAGTGTTCCCACCGCCCAGGCGCCTGCCGTCCACACAGCCGCCGGCACTGCTGCAGCCTTACCACCCTGATGGCCTTGGCTTCTCTAGATGACCCCTCAGAACACCCTGAAACTAACCTTCCCACAAGCACTAGGTTGCATCACCACAAACCAGCTCCTACTTCTTCCTGTGAAGCCCTCTCCTGAGTGTCTCCTTTCCTGGATCACTGCTCTCATTGGGCTATCTCTCTAGTCTCTGAATCCCCCCACACGAGTGCCTACCACCACGGGTCTTCTCTCTCTACCTGTCCTTCCCAGCAGTGCTTTCAACCTGCACCTGGGGATCTGGCTAAAGGCAGACGTTGAGCCAGTGGGTCTGGAGTGGGGCCTGAGAGTGCACTCTGGCAAGTGCCCAGGTGGTGCTGATGCTGCCGGCGTGAGGGCCACAGTTTGGGGGTAATAAAGCTTTCAAGTCCAAGAGGTCCTTTCTGGGACTGCAGCCTCCAAGAGCAATCACTGAGGAGGTTCCAGAACTTGGTCCTCAGGATCTCTAGCCAAGGAAGGTTTATGTTTGTGTGAGCCTTTGAAGGCAGAGCTCTAGGTGGTTCTCCGTGAGTCACATGCCTCGGCGTGATGCTCAGAGCTCGTGTCTTTTTTGTTTGCTTTTTGTTTTTCTGCACACGTATCCGCAGGCTCGTCCACTGAAGCCTCTCCCCCAAGCAGAGCCTGTTTGATCAGGCTGGGTTCCTTGAAGGGGACACCTGTCATTTCTCCCTTGGGGATTTCTGGTGAGCCTCCCCTCTCAGAGGGGGGTCACGGGAACTTACCAGATACTGAGTTCCCAAGTCTGGGCTCTGGAAATGGCGACAGCTCTGGGGAAAGCGGCTCAGGAGAACCTTGATCAGGCTCTGGTACCAGGAGACCGTCATAGATAGGAAGCAGTCCTGGGGGAGGGTGCACAGGCCTGGGTCTGCTGTCCTGAGCCACCCTGCACGCTCCACCCTGGCTGCCCATGGATTCCCAACACCCATCCCAGCCCCTTCTGACTGACAGTTCCTTACCAGCTGGGGGTCAATGTCCCCAATGGATTTGGCATGGACCGCTTCCAGAAGCTCCTCCAGCTCAGCCAGGGCCAAGCGTCCCCCGAGCCGCAGCCGATCAGGCCCTGGTGGCTCCAGCAAGAAGAGGCGCTTCCAGAGGGTGTCCCTGCGGCAGTGCCCTCCAGCTAGCCGGACCAGCTGAGCCAGCCGTGCCCGAGCCACGCCCACCTCTGCAGCCAGCGGGGGGAACAGAGGAGCTGGTCCAAGGGCCAGACCAACCCCTGAGGCCTCCCTAGGGCTACCAGCTGAGCTCCCAGGAACCTCTGGCTCAGGGGGTAGTCGGGGTGGCTTCCGGAACCGGCGCATGTCAGCAGTCAGTCTGGGGAAGAGCTCTCGTTGGCTGGTGAGCACCACGAAGAACTGCAGCCTGGGGTGCGGAGGGGGCAAGTGTGATGGTCACAGCAGGAGACACACGGGGCAAGGGCAGGGGGCAGGCAGGGCAATGGGCACATTCAAAGTGGGGGATCTGCTGACCGCAGGACGTGACGCTCAGCCTCTCCTTGTTCCTCAAAGGGTGCAGCACAGTGACAGACAAGCAGAGACACATCAAAGTCATCCTGGTGGCGAAGTCCCTCAGAGTCTACGTAGGAGCCAGAGCTGTGTGGTGGGGAGAAGGTGTCAGTCCTGAGGTTCTAATGAAGTCAACCTCACCCTTTCTGCCCAAGAAAACACGGGTCTCCCTACTGCTTGGGTGGTCCTGACCGTAGCCCCACCAGAAAACAGGCTGGTATGCCCCTCCTCACCTGTGCCACGCCGACACCAGGGCATACTCATTGTGTTCCGGGCCCCCTGGCCGGGCCATTCGCAGGGGCTTCATGTGGTAGGAGCTGGCGTGGTCGGCCACATAGTTGTACAGCTGGTGTGCAGCAATGAGTGGTGTGGGGAGCTCCAGGGTCCCTACGGGGCAAATCAGAGGAGATAATGAGCCTGGGACAGACACACCAACAGGGTGGCTTAGAGGGTTAAGAGTCCCTAAGGCTCTGACCGACAGGCAGACTGGCCCTGCCTTTCTGGGAGCTCCTAAGGCCCTATGGGAAATTAAGATGGGACAAAGTGGCTCGGACAGACAGAGGGCTGGGTACACGACATAGGGTCTAAACTTTGATATGAAATAAACTGAAGAAGTTAAGACAGAGATGTGGGACAAGGTCCAAGTCATGTGAGGCAATTAATTAACGATATGGGATAGGAAGATGAGGTCTGGCCCTAGAAGGTGGTCCCACCACCCCACACCTTGGGGCCTATTTTTTCAGGTTCACTGGCTTGCCCTTGGCCACTGACCTTGGTAGATGTGATTGCGACCGAAGTGGGGCCCATCAGGATGGTGGGCCAGGAAGTGCCGCAGAAAGGTGGTGAGGTGGTAGCCATGCCGCAGCACCAGATGGCCGCCCAGCACGTGCTGGTGCACGAGGCGCAGGTGGAAGTCGTAGCTGAAGGAGTGCACGTGCATCAGGTCCCGCACCTTGTCGCACTCCTCGGTGAACAGCATGGACAGCTGAGGGGTGGCAGGGGCTGGGTCGGGAAACGGCAGTGCAGGCTGCCCAGCACACTCCCGCTTCCCTCCCCATGTATGGGAAAAGACAGCTCGAGATGCACCCTGTGGCTGCGGGCCCCTCCACCAGAACAGCTCTGGGAAGCCCTCCTCACAATATCCTGTTGTTTGTACTGTGCGGTGACTATTTACATGGAGCTAACCATTTTGAGAGACAGGTCTGTTTTCCTTTGTACCCGAGTCCGCTGAAGTCTGGCACAGATTCACTGATGCAAAAATGCTTGTCGAGTGCCCGCCTGGTACTGTTCTAGGGGCTGGGAATACACTGGGAAACACACCCTTGCCCTTGAGGAGCTTAATTTGAACAGTAGGGAGATAAGACAGTAAACATCAGACAGAGGTGCTGAGTACATGATATGTTAGAAGAAGGTGTTGTGGAAAGTCAGAAAGTGAAGCAGCTGCCATTTTAAACAGGTGGTCAGGGTAGGCCACTGTAGGCCACGGAAAGTTTTTGCTGGCTCCCTTCCCATCTCTCCAGCTTTATTTTCCCACCAAACTACTGGCTCTTCCCAAGTTCAACACACAGACTCTACCCTTTTGTACCTGCTGTTCTCTTTGCCTGGAATGCTGCTCTCCCTGATCCCAGACCCGGCTAACCTCTCCCTGGTAAGCTTTGTCCGGGACATCCTGCCAAGGCAAGGCAAGGCCAGGGTGGGCCTCCTCTAACTGATCTGTGAATGAAGGGTGGAAAGTGGGCAGAGAGATGGAGCTGATGCTTCCTTGGGTGGAAATCACCATTACTCAAAGTGTGTCGACAGGCGG